AACATTCACGTTATAGTCATTTCTGCTTTAACCCCTTAAGGACTGAGGCAGTTGTACAAGTTGTGATCAAAACAAAACGAAAACAAAACCTTGAATTTGTGCACACGTCTGCTCAGGCGTAATTCACATCTTTCATATTATGTGCACCCACACTTATCATATATTTTTTTGTTCAGGAGAAACAGGACTTTCATGTCACATCAAATACTTGTATATTAAACTTTATTTAACCCTTTCAGTACCGGACTGTTTTGGCAATGTTGTACGTTAAGGACCAGAGCTGTTTTAACACGTTTGTGGTTGTGTTTAGCTGTAATTTTCCTCTCTCTCATTTACTGTTCCCATACAAATTATACATATATTTTTTTCAGGACAAAAATGGCTTTCTTTACATACCATTATTTGTATCACGTCATAGAATTTACTTTAAAAAGAATAATAAAAATTTAAAAATAAAACATGTTTCTTTACTTTAAAAATCTTTTACTTATCTACAAAAACTAATGAAAAAAACTGCTAAATAAATTCAAAATTTTGTCCTGAAAAACACCCAGTGTTTACATGCTTTTTTGCTGTCCCCCCACCCCCTCCCCATGTTATAGGGCTATAAGTACAAGTAGGATTTCAAAATATATATTTTTAAAATGTATCAATAGTGACATTGTAACACAGTTATCTGTCAGGGTATTCAATATGGGGTATGTCCAGTCTTTTTTAGTATCAAAACAACAGAACATGGAGAGACAAAATAATATAAGAATAGCCCGGTGCAAACCATATAAACACTCCCTCAAGTGCTTTAAATATTCAAATGTATTTAGAATATAAATGCACACTATAACAATCTCAAAAAACTTAGCTTTATTGTGTACAAAAAAGTACCAGAGCGAAAACATACAAGAAAAATAAACAAAGTGACAGAAGCAGGGGCAAATACAATAAAATAATTTGACTCATAACTCTCTGAAGAGCCTTTTGGCGAAACGCGCGTCGGGTGTAGTTAGTGAGCGGGTGGTTGGCATTTGACCGGGGACTATGCTGCAGCCAGTTTAGATGTTACAGGACACTCTTAGCAGACCACCCTCTCTTTATTTTTTTACTTATATATTTTGATTTGTACCTCTGCTTACCTTCTATTGAGGTTTCACTCTGTTTACACTCAGGCAGGCGTTCTTAACCTGAGTGTCATGGGAGTTAGGAGATAGTACTTATCATACTAGGTTTCACAGCAAGATATACTTTAGACCTCCTTTTATAATAGCTATTACTGGATGTCTTTAAGTATTATTAGGCAATCCCTTTCTCTCTCTTGCTCTGGGTACTACCTAGTCATTCTGCAAGTACTTTCTCCTCTCTTCCCCTTTTTTTATTATTATTTTTTGTGATATCATCAGTTATTTTCTATGTTTTGAATTTTTAGAAGGAATTTATTAAAAGTTAGTTTTTAATTATTTTCTTTTGGGTTGCACTGCAACTACAGGGAACCTTTGGGACTGACACATATTAACCCCTTGGTTTCTCTGTTTTTTGCTTAGTTTCTCTCTTTTCTCTTTCCCCCATTATTTTACTTTAGGGCCCCCACCCGCCATTCAGGGGTGGGGGCCAGAGGGGGAATAGGTCCCCCCTTTAGTTTAAAAGCCCCCCACTCGTGCAGCACGGGTGGCGGCTCGGGAGCGGGGGCCTGTTTTTTGTTTTGTTTTTTGGCGGTGAGCAGCCATAGGTTGCTCATTGTTTAATAGACATGCCCCTTCTCGCAGTATAGCGAGTAGGGGCAGATTATTTACTAATAGTAAGTCATTTTTACTTAGTATTAGTAAATTTGGGAATTAGGGAGTTATCTACTAAGCGGCTGCAAGAGAAGTGCTGAAGTACCGAAATTCCAAAATGCCGAAGTTACGAAGTTACGAAATTCCGAAGTGTCGAAGTACCGAACCAAACCGAAGTGCCGAAGTCCCAAAGAATTTCGGAATGCCGAACCGAATATTTTCCCCATGCACATCCCTACCATAATTTTGAGGGTTTTTTTGTGGAGCACCCAGATTAAGATGTGTTAATGGGAGTGCTTCTATCTTTTTTTGTCTGTTTATGACAAAAGAAATCTGTATTTGGCACCTCTTTTTTGGAAACTAATGGCATACCAGGTCACACTGCAATTAAAGTTACAATATGCACATATGTAATGGCAAATAGAAAAATTTATATGAGAAAAATACCTTAGCATGTTGTCTTCTTTAAGAAGATATCTACATGGAGTCACCAACTATAGCTGTACTGCAAATGTACTCTATGCAAGCAGGGATGGTCGAAGGATAAAATGCTACCCCCTCCCGCTAATGCAGTATGTATTGAGGATGTAGAATGAGAAAGTGGATGCAGTGTGTGTAGGAAATGTATTTTATGTGCTGGTGAGTCAGTGTGTCTAACTGATGCAGTATATGTGTGAGTGCTTTTGGATATAGTGTGTGTGTGCTAGGAATGTAGTTTGTTTGTGCTTGAATGCAGTATGTCTGTGTGTGCTGGGGATGCAATGCGTGCCTGTGTGTGTGCTGGGGATGCATTATGTGTGTGCTGGGGATGTAGTATGTCTGTGTGCTGGGGATGTACTGTGTCTGCGTGTGCTGTGGATTGGCTTCCTATGAGAGATATTCTGCTCTCCGACCGGAGAGACAGCTGACAGCGCTGGAACGTCAGTGGCGAACGTAAGCATAATCCTGAGTCGCAGACCAGCCTCCCGCTGATTTTTCTAGAATTTATTTGCGGCAGGTCCAGCCCACCCTGGCGGAGGGTCTGAACAAGAGCTTTCCTCGACTGCTGTTTCCCTTAACTGGTTAGCAACATGCTGGATGATGACAGCGGTGGAAAAATGCCGCCCCATGTCAAAGTGCCTACAATGGTAGAAGAGAGGACTAGCAGGCTGGACATGTTTTGTGACATCCGCTTTCTCAAAAGCCCTTGAGGAAGTGCTTGGCACAAAACATATCAAACCGGTTAGTCCTCCTTACTACCATTGTATAGGGATTTAGGCAAGTTTTCTTTTTTTGGATTTGATAGATTGCACTTTTGATTTATTGTAACTTGATTTTGATACTTGCATGGAGTTTTCTCTTTGGGTCAATCCAAGAGTAAATTCGCAGTCTGGTTACAGTTGTAGTTAGTACATACAGTATCACACAAACGTGAGTACACCCCTCACATTTTTGTAAATATTTTATTATATCTTTTCATGTGACAACACTGAAGAAATGACACTCTGCTACAATGTTTAGGGTTAGGATAGGGCCGCAGGGCAGTATTCCAACATGATCACGACCCCAAACATACCTCCAAGACGACCACTGCCTTGCTAAATAAGCTGAAGGTAAAGGTGATGGACTTGCCTACCATGTCTCCAAACTTAAACTCTATTGAGCATCCGTGGGACATGCTCAAACTGAAGGCGGGGAAGCGCAAGGTCTCTAATAGCCACCATCTCCGTGATGTCATCATGGAGGAGTGGAAGAGGACTCCAGTGGCAACCTGTGAAGCTCTGGTGAACTCCATGCCCATGAGGGTTAAGGCAGTGCTGGGAAATAATGGTGGCCACACAAAATATTGACACATTGGGCCAAATTTGGACATTTCTACTTAGGGGTGTACTCCCTTTTGTTGCCAACAGTCTAGACAAGAAATGGTTGAGTTATTTTGAGGGGACAGCAAATTTACACTGTTATACAGGCTGTGCATTTACTACTTTACATTGTAGCAGAGTGTCATTTCTTCAGTGTTGTCACATGAAAGATATAATAAAATATTTACAAAAATGTGAGGGGTGTAATCACTTTTGTGAGATACTGTATGTGGCATATATTTTCAAAGTAAATAATGCAGATTAAGTAACATTTTGTGTATACAATAATTGTGTGTATTAAAAGAGCACAAAAATGTATTAACATGTTTGATTTGCTTAGCTGTGAGCATTGATCTGTGCTAATAATTATTTGTTATGTCAGATTGCAGATCTGAGATCTGAGTTATATAGAACAAAAAACTAAAAACAAACAAGTACATAGAAAAATATTTAACAGAAAAGACGTGATAAACCAGCTGTAACAGCAATGACAGGCTTGCACATAAATATCTATACCTGTACTATTACAGGTACAAAGTAGAATTGCGGAAATCAGTGTTTTGAAGTCCTTGGGCTGACAGGTGATTGCATATTTAAGAACTATTAAATATCCTTTATGCTACAGAAAATTTTAATATTTGAGGGGGATATTTGGTTATCTGTGAATTACCCATATATTTTTTTAAAAAGCATGATTAAGCACTGAAAAAAAAAAAAATTCTTTTTTATTGACAATCTTTATTTATACATTTTCAGTTTAATACAGAAAAAGTGAGTCTCGACAAACATAGGAAAGTAACAGAAACACAATGTGTTAGTAGTAGCAAAATCATTTCCCAGTAGTATGGCGATAAGAAACAAACTCACAATCCAAATGTAAAGTAGCACAATGGGAAAGTAACTGGAGATGTGATTTAAACTTTGTGTTCCCATTAAAAGGAATGGACAAGACTACATAATTCTTAAAAGTAACAAATAAAAAAAAGGGGGAGGAAAGGGAGGGGTAAGTGGATAGGTGAAAAGGGCCATGAGAAGCATGATCAACAATTCCGAAACAAATGCTATGGGTTGGTTTCAAAATCGCTGTCATTAGGTATGGGCCAACAGAGCAGCATCATCCAACTCCAACAGGTTAGCAAACATGTTTTCCAAGTTTTTAAATGTTTCTCTATTCTATTCTATTGGGGGTATAAGTTTGCAATCCAGAGTGCAGAGATCAGGGACTTGGCGGCAGTTAGCTGATGTTTTGAAAGTGATTCACTGTATCTGAAAATGGGAAATTTCATGTGATTCAGAAGCAAATCAGCTGGGTGAAGAACACCCCATCACCTGTAATTAAAGTTATTACATCATGGGTCTTTTTCTAGAAGGGAGCTATGATAGAACATTCCCACCATAACCACACACATAACCTCCAGCAAATGGGTGATTTTTTAGGAGAGACTCTATGATGCTTAAAAGAGGTGTTGTACCAATTTGTGAGGATTTTTTATTTGATTTCTTTATATTTAGAGCACATAGAGCCCTGATGTGACAATATTCAAATATTTGACTATTGTTTGTCTCTAAAAATCATATGTAAAGCATATTTCCAATAGGAAGAAAACCTGAGTTGAGCTACTGTAGTTCCATATAAAAGTATCTAATAAAGAGTAAACCAGCACAATAACAAATCTCCTTAAAAGATATCAGTGACCTACGAAGTAAAGCGCAGGCATGGCAGGAATTGTAAACATGTGTAAGTTGGTGGTATCTGAAACATTCTACAATAGTGGGTTGCCCAGCAACCACCAAGTCTGTCAGCGATTGTATATCCCCACGGTTACTAATGCTCCTTATGAAACTACTAGGGCCTTTTTCCCAAAAAAGCAGAAGGTATGCTGGTCAAGTCCTGCTGGGAATGTGTGATTATTTGAGACTGGAGACATCAGGCCACGCAGTGTTGACAAGGATAATTGCCTGCGAAGCATGTACCAAATTGACATAGATGTCCCAATAAAGGTGTGGTAATGAATCTGTTGAGGAAATTCCTCAGCATCTAGCCAGCATGGCTCTGGGATTCTTCTGTCAGCTATATTTAACTTCTAGCAATGGTCAATGTTTGAGGGAGTGTATCTTATGCCATTCCACTATATTAGCATAATGGACAGCCTGGTAAAACCCACGGAAATACTGGAGACACAGACAAACAAGCAACTTGGGTAGCATTAAGCAAAGAAAAACACACACATCTCAGCAGAGCAGAATTTAATAAGTAGAAGTAAGTTTTGAGCAACTGAACAGTAATAGTGTGAAAAAGGTATAATAACCAAGAAATTAATTTTTATGTCACTTTGGAATCTATTGAGTATGGAGACAAAATTAAGTTAGTAAAGTATAGTAAGATCACAGGGCACCACAACTCCCAAATATGTCAGATTATCAGAGCACCACTTAAAGGAAATTTCTGCTGCAGAAAGGTCATTAAAGCAACCGGTGAGGTCACACTAAGAACATCAGATTTATCCATACTAAGATTAAAGTTGCTAAACTTGCAGTAATTCCAAAATTTCACAATAATATTCACGAGGAATATGCAGGTTTGTTAAAAAAAAATAAGAGGCTGTCAGCATAAGCTGATACTTTATGTTCGACATTAACCTAGTGGAAGCCATCCACAGACTGATTTGCTGAATCACCAACAAGAACAACTTCAGTTTCAGCAGATTTAGCACAGAGGCAAAAAGGACATTCTTACCAAGTGTCGTTTTTGATGTCTACTTGATTATTGGAAGCCCCATTAACCCAAATTCCAGCTGATGGTCATGTGAATATAATTTCCCTATTAACCCCATGTTAGGGGCATACATAACATTTGTTCGAACAGCTTGGGGAATCTCTTTTTGTTTAAATTTCTTTTCCCACAGTCATCATTTTTCAGTTGTTTTACAAAATATGCCCCATGCAGTGAATGACCTATATTGGCCATGCAGTCCTGTAATAGGTGATGCCAGAGGAGGGTTTAGCATACCTTACCACAATTGATTCCAACATTACACTAATCAGCCACAACATTAAAACCACTGACAGGTAAAGTTAATAACACTGACTCTATCATAACAATTGCATCTGTCAAAGGGTGGGCTATATTAGGAAGCAAGTTAACAGTCAGTTCTTGAATTTAATTTGTTGGAATCAGGGGCAAAATTGTCAAGCAAAAAGATTTGAGTAACTTCTAAAAGGGCCAAATAGTAATGGCATCTCCAAAATGGCAAGTCTTGGGTGGTGTTCCTGAAATGCAGTGATTAGTACCTACCAATAGTAAAGCAAGGAAGGACAGCCAATGAACTGGTGTCAGAGTTATGGCTGGCCAAGACTCATCGATGCATGTGGGGAGCAAATGCTGGCCCATCTGCTTCAATCACACAGAAGAGATACTATAGCTCAAATTTTTGAAAATAACTTTCTGATGGCCATGATAGAAAGGTGTCAGAACACAGAGTGCATCCTAGTTTGCTGCATATGGGGCTGTGTAGTTGCAGACAGGTCAGATCTTATGACCCCTGTCCACTGCTGAGAGCACCTTCAATGGGGACATGAGCTTCAGAACTGGACCATGAAGTAGTGGAAGAAGAGCCTGGTCTGATGAATCACACTTTCTTTTAGATCAGGTGGATGGCTGTGTGCGTGTTGGGAGTTTACCTGGGGAAAAGATGGAAGCGTTATGCACTATGGGAAGATGGCAAGCCAACAGAGGCAGTATTATATTCTGGGCAATGTTCTGCTGTGAAGTATCCTGGCATTCATGTGGATGTTACTTTGACACGTACCACCTACCTAGAGACTGTTGCAGATCATGTACACCCTTTCAAGGCAATGGTTTTCCCTGATGACAGTGGCCATTTCAAGCAGGATAATGCACCCTGCCACACTGCAAAAATTGTTCAGGAACATGCCAAAGAGTTCAAGGTGTTGCCTTGGCCTCCAAATTCCCCAAATCTGAATCTGATGGAGCATCAGTGGGATGTTCTGTAACAACAAATCTGATCCATGGAGGCCAACCTTGCAACATACAGAACTTGCTACGTACACATGCTACGTGTCAGAGGAGGTGTGATCATGAAGAATGAGTGGACTTTGCATCTTTATATGCAAACCACTCACTAAGACTTTTAAAACTACCTACCTCTGATCAGGATGATCATGAGTTCATGGAGGAGTGGAATAATAAATTGGAAATATGCACTTTCGGATTAATGGAAACACTAATAGTTAAAAAAAGCAAAAAATTGTCCATTTTAGACATTGAAATAAATGACCTTAGAGAGAAGCTCTTACCATTTACAGAAACTAAGGCCTATAAACAAAATTCTGTATTAATACAAAACAAAATAGAAAAAGTTGAAGTTGATACAAAACATCTGAAAATCAGAAAATATATTAGAGATAAAACTGACTATTCAAACAAACAAGTGAGAACTTACCATCTTAAAAAAAGTACACTTCAGACAATTATCCCTCTAGACCAAATTATCAAAATCTTAATTATACACACAACAATTCCCATTCTTACACTAATATGGCATACCAACCATCTTCCAAATACCAGAATTATATCACACGGAAGTCCCATCATCAATCCCCATCTACAATGAGACCCAAAAATACTTTCTCTCACCAGCACTACGTCCCTTCTAAATTACCTTATCAAGGTACCACCAACACATACCAATTACCCCCACATAAACTAAGGAAATTTCCTCACCACAACTCTAATCCTGTACCTCAATCCCCTAGATACTACAACTCTTCTGGTTTAAACTTTTCACCCAAACCACAAAGATCAAGGTATACAAATGATCAAAATGAGTATTCTAACTACTCAAAATCACCCACTATTCCCAATCACCCTAATAGGTACCAACTTTTATCAGTCGATTCAGACTTTGATAATGAGGACCATTTTTTAGAAATACGCACTCACCAGCCCCCACTAGCCCAGACACCGCACCCCTCACGTTCCCAGAAAATAATTTTAAGCTTAGAGGAAGACGAAGTGGAAGACGGGAACAAAAGAGAAAGATTGGAAAGACAATAACACCCTACACTAAATCCTGCAATGGTATTTTTAATCTCTCCCAGAAAGTTTTATCACCTGCACAATTGTCTGTTTTAAGTAAAGGTCTAAAATTTGCCCCTACCTCTTCTTTTAACTCATTTCAAGCTTTTCTTGATGTTAACAAATTTGTTAGAAAAGCTACACTAAAAAGATTTTTTATAAGCAAGAATGATGAAGAATCTATTCCATCTACTTCTCCAAAGATAGACAATAGCTCTTTTATTAATACTAACCTCAGGCCAAAATCTAAGTTTTACCCATCTCATTTTAAATCCGTTCCTCTTACTCTTTTTGAGAAATTAGTTCAAAAAGATTTAGATAAAATAAAATATAAAAAATATGATGCTCAAAACCTTACAAATGCCGAAAGACAAGCAATCAAAGAACTTCAAAAGGATAAAGATATTGTCATCAAACAGGCCGATAAAGGCGGTGGAGTAGTTATCCAGTCTAGTAATATGTACACAGACAATTAAAAGACAGAAATGTATATGAACAACTCTTATCGGATCCTACTGAAAATATAAAAATTATTTTATCCACTTTTTTAAATAAAGGTCTTAATTTAAATATTTTAAACAAACATGAATTTAATTTTTTAAACAAAGAATTTCCTATTACCCCTGTTATTTATTTCCTTCCCAAAATCCACAAAAACGAACAACATCCTCCAGGTAGACCAATCGTGTCTGGGATAGGTTCACTTTTATGTAACCTTTCCCAATATATTGATACCCTTCTTCAGCCTTCGGTCAAACTTATGAAATCCTATCTAAAAGACTCCATGTCACTTTTAAAATGTTTAAGTGATTTTACTTGGAAAACAAATTTTATATTAGTTACATGTGACGTTCAGTCTCTTTATACTATTATTCCTCATGACATAGGCTGTTCAAATCGATTTTAAAATAGAAGGTATAAATATTATTTTTAAAAATAATTATTTTTGGTTTTTAGACTCATTTTATTTGCAAAAGAGAGGTACAACTATGGGGACTAGGTTTGCCCCCAGTTATGCCAAGTTGTTTATGGCCGACTGGGAAACCGAAGCTATTTGGGGTAACCACTCGTGGAGGGCAAACCTAGTCTCCTACTTCAGATATATAGATGACCTCTTTTTTATATGGGATGGACCAGAAAACCATCTTATTGATTTTATAAACTATCTAAACATCAACAATAGGGGTATCATCCTTACATATGAATATAGTAAGGAGTCTATTAATTTTTTAGATCTTAACATTTTTATCAACAAGGGACAACTTCAAACAAAAACTTTTTTTAAACAAGTATGTGTAAATACGGCTATAGACAAATCCAGCTGCCATTATAAACCTTGGCTTGAGAGTGCTCCAAAAAGTCAATTATTGCGTCTTCGCAGAAACTGTTCAGAACTTACAGATTTTAACGAACAAGCTTTAAAAAATAAATTTATGGAGAAAAAATATCAAGAATCTGATCTAAATGCCACAATTAGTATAGTAAAGCAGAAAGAACGAAATGAACTTCTAAAGTATAAAAATAAAGAAAATAATGAACTAATATCACTTCCAGTTATTTTTAATTTTAATAATAAAAGTAATGATGTTAAAAAAATAATAAAAAAACATTGGCATATACTCAAACATGATGAGATACTTAACCCTATCATACCCATTCATCCTAATATTGTTTTTAGAGGAGCACCTAATTTTAAGTCCATTTTAACCAAAAATTTTACTAAAAAATCTCCTTCCAAAAATTTATCTTTCTTTCCTCAGACGAAAGGTTTTTATAGATGTAAACAATGCATTGTATGTAAAACTACTGATCATTCTATTCCATCTAAAATTACAAATTTTATGTCAAATAGGACCAAAAAAGTGTACAATATAAATGATTTTATATGTTGCAATACAAAAAATGTTATTTATCTGCTCGAGTGCCCATGTGGCCTCCAATATGTGGGGATGACCACAAGGAGCTTAAAGATAAGACTGAGCGAACATTGCAGAAATATCAAAAATGGATACCTGAATCATACAGTATCCAAACATTTTATTATGCATAACAGAGATCCACGTCTATTAAAATGTATTGGTATAACCAAATGCTCTACCTCTTGGCGTGGAGGTGAAACAAAAAAGATGCTTGGAAAAACAGAGATGGAATGGGTGTATAAACTTCAGACTCTTATACCCCATGGTCTTAATGCAGATTTTGATTTACATAATTTTTTATAATCTTTTATAATTTTTTATAATTTTGCTGCCTGTACCTTTAAAAAATTATGCTTTTATTGTTATTCATGGACAATGTATCTTTTATTCAGGTATTCTTATCATTGTTTTATTTTTACTTTTTATGGTTATAAGTTCCCCCTTTTAAGCCTTTGTCATGTATTTATAATTGTATATTGTCTTTTCCTAGTATATCTATTCTAAGTACATTTATCTGCAGTACTTGTCCCCATTATTGTTGGCTAAACTACATTTCCCTATATGCACTGTGGCTATATCTTCCGATTTGCGGAAGTGCCGAATACCATGTGACCTATTTAGATCTGTTTCTAAGTTCATTTCTCCTCTTCGTTTTTAATTTTCAACTCTATCTATCACCTTGTACAGGCTATAACTATGCAATCTTTTGCTTATTTTAATGTTACATGTGGCCGCTTTTTGCGGCCATTTTGACTACATTTCCCATGTGGCATTGCGTTCTACTTCCGAAATGCGGAAATGCTGTTTGGACATGTGATTTTCTATCAATGTTTAAAAACACATTTTATCACCTTCGTTTTTGATTCAAACATATCAACATCATGTTACAGTACTATTATCTATATATTTATTGAATTATTTATGCAATTTAATGTTTTAATTTTGTTTTTATTTTTAATTGGTTGTACCATTTTTGGCGCCAAATTCAAATTAGTTTTATCCCTATAAAATATCTATTAGCCAGGTATCATATGTAAATCCATTTGAAAAAGTCTTTTTTGATGAAACGCGTTATGGATATTTAATATTTGTGTTCTTTTATATATATTAAAGTATTTTTGGTCATCTATTCGTGCCAATCAACTTTTTTAAAGACACATAACCTTTCCTTTTACCCTGGCTTTTTAGTATTATTTTTATTGGTTTTATAAAAACCACTGGAAAATATCCCTGGAAGTTTCCTGTACTAAAAGAAATCCTTAGGTGGGGATCAATCCACCCAAGTTATCATCATAGAGCAGTTGGCCTGCTCTTGCCTTGTAAGTACATTCTTTTATTATTTTATCAACACTACTATACAGTGAGCACTATTAGTTGTCTCTTTTATTCCGAGAATTGGACACCAGCGACGGAGAGGAACCCATTTATATCCCATAAGCGGGGATAAAAACCACTGTATGCGCTTTACTCCAGAGCTGGATATTAGCTCTGGTAAATGTGAGTTTTATATTATTATTCCTTTATAATTACATTTGAATTTTACATACTGCACCATTGGTTGTCCTTCTCTCTTTTTATCTTTCATACCAAGTGGATCCACCACATCAGTAGAAGACCTCACCACCAAAGACTATCTGTAAGGATAAATATTGGGATCTTCTCTCCTTTTTGGACCTTTTATTGGACTTTTTTATTATTTACTGTGGCACAGCCTTTTTTATTGTTTTTCACTCACTGGTATGGCTGGTAAGCTGCCGCCCAACCCTTTGATGCCACAGCACATGTGTAAAAGATCTATTCCTAATTGGGCAGTATTGGAATGCTCCGCCCACCACTCACATGGAGCAGACGATTTGGCTAAGAATGTGCTCACCTCCAGGCAATGGGACCTTTAAATCTATGAGAAAGGAAATGCATTAGTCATGTGTTGGCCATTTTTCTTGCACTTTTCTCCATATAATAGATAGCACTTCTTTCCCTGTACATAGTTTGTTTTAGGGTTGGTATTTTGCAAGCACAAGCTTACAGTGTGGCGAGGTATCAAGGTTACATTTAGGGCTAGTATTAGACTTTATCAGCAAGTAACTACCTACTGCACAGATGTTGTTACCTTTAAAGTTTATTATAGCACAATATATCTCTACTTTAATTTAAGAATTTCATACTCTTTTTGTAAGGATTTGCTGACTTTCTTTTATGGTTATGTAGGTACATTCTTATGTTATGGTGTCCTGCCATGTACAGTTGGGAAGTAGGTATAATCCCTGCCCTATGGATGTATTGCCTTGCAACACAACCAAGTGCAATTGAGTGAGTGCCTCATGAATCTGATGAAGACAGCACAGACATATAGCGGTAGGGCCTCTTGATAAATCTAGAGAGGGGTACAATACTAAATTAAAATCTCCTCCCTAGATTGAGATCCCTTCAGATAAAGTAGACGTGGCTCTACAGACCTTCATAAGATAAGTATGTTTGCAGCATTAACAGTGTTACATGTGTAAATCAGTGAGTGAATATGCCCCTTCATAAAAAGAAAATTACCTTAATTGGAAGGGAATTATATGTGAAAACATGTTCTCTGCCCTGATTTTTGGAAGTGGCATGGTCAGCAAAAAAGGCTTTACAGGTCCTTCCCTTTTCCCAGTAAGAGACCAACAGTCTCTTTACCTTGAAATAGAATATCAGGGGCTTCTTACTGAGAATCCTCTGAACATCTCCTGCAACGCACTACACTGCGTTCTGATCTGAGTCTGAGAAAGTGGTGTACAGGCACACTCTATATCACTCTATATAATGGAAAGAGTAAGCTCTCTTCTTTAGTGTTTCACCATGTCTTGTACCATTGTGACTGAATTGTTTGTGTAGCCCACAGTTCTCTAAGGAGCCTAGATTTAAGACCACTAGCATTTACAGACCTAGTTTGCAGTGGGCAGGTATATGTGATAACGGCACCATCATGGCTGCGGAATTTAGGAGTAAGGGACAAGGGAAGAAGTTAAAAAGTGAGGGAGATAAGAGAA